CAACCTGCTCCGTGTTACAACAACAAATCTTACTAAAATCTATTATGAATTCAGTCGCACAAAATATATCTATTATGAATTAAGAAAAAAATAAATTAGTACTAGTGGGAATGTGTCCCACATAATCTTAGGTTGCAGTGCTTCACACCCGTCTCTCACACATGCATGCATGCAAACAAATAAGTAATACATGGAAGCATGACATTAGCAGATATTATCTTGGTTTTATTTTTGTTAAACTTTTATCTCCCAAACCAATAATCTGATTGATGACCCGCTTTCACCGTTGACTTCATCGTGACAAGATTTTTAAAACTAGATCCCGTGTTGATATGTTTTGATATAAAAAAACAGTAACTATCATGTTAATTCCACTTACTTACCATATTATAGCCATTTAATTATCAGGTTTATCATAACTTGGTTTCTAGATTAGTCAATATCATTATCTCCATACTATAATCTGGTAAGTAGACAGAGAAAAAATTGTAACCCTATGAAATAATATGCTAACCCAAAATGAATAATCCCGCAAACCATGTACTATAAATTTGGTAACCGGCAGCGACGAAAAAAACATGGTAACACGAGATCGTGTTTTGAAGCCCTTGCCGAGAATAACTCGGTGAAAACGACTCGGTAATCCGACAATGGTTTGTGAGATAAATCATTTTAAAAACCAATTTTACCAACAAATGCGATGATGAGAGGTGGAAAATTCTTACATGCATGTGCTCTCCCCTAGGAATTTCTCCAATAGGACCCCGTGGCTGTGTAAGACTAAGTGGGGGGCACTTAGATTTTCCCTTTAAATTAAGAATATGATATATTATGATTCTTTTTATGTTTTTGATAAATTGATCAAACTATCATTAACTATGAGCTTGCGTGCAGTCATAATATTTTTTTTTTCATGCAGCGTTTCCTACCATCGGAATTCGGCATGGACCCAGCAAGGATGGAGCATGCCCTTGAACCAGGAAGGATCACATTTAATGAGAAGATGGAGATAAGAAGGGCGATAGAAGAAGCAAACATTCCCCACACCTATATTTCTACTAACTGCTTTGCTGCTTACTTTGGTCCTAACCTTGGTCAAATGCGTACCCTACTTCCACCCAAAGAGAAAGTTCACGTATATGGGGATGGCAACATCAAAGGTAAATCAATGTAAACATTACTAGACGTAGCATTATTTAATCCTAGTTGTATGACTCCTGGGCTTATCTGACTCTCTTGAGATTTCTACTTATGAATGTGCGGTCATACAAACTATGTAGGGATATTCATGGACGAAGATGATGTTGCAACGTACACAATCAAGTCCATTGATGATCCACGGGCCTTGAACAAGACAATATACCTAAGACCGCCAGAAAACATCCTTAGTCAAAATGAGCTGATTGCTAAATGGGAAAAGCTCTCAGGAAAGGTTCTTGAGAAAATTCCCATTCAAAGTGATGAATTCTTGGCATCAATGAAAGGTAAGGGAAAAAACATTTATTGGTTGGGCATGAAGTATTATAAACTCAGCTTTGGTAGCATGGTGAAAGGGCCACATAGATTTCCCAGGAAAATATTGCCATCTTCTTTCTAGGACATGGAATTAACCGTGTGAAAATAATTTTTCAAATGTGAGAAGTTTTGCTTCTTTTAGTCCAGGAATTGTCTATTGCCGCCTAATATTTTTGAGGTAATTACCGCCTCATTAAGATAACAGGTTAATTTTTCTTTGTTTGAACATGAAGTGAAGTCATGCCTTGTCCCCCACCCCTCAGCCCTGCGCAAAAAAGAAGCCATACGTTGTTCACACAATTTCTAATAGTTTTTACTTCGACACATGAAGTCATTACTTGCTACAGACAACATTAAAG